AGCTACTCAGGAGGCTGAGGCAGGAGAATTGCCTGAACCCAGGAGGCAGAGGTTGCGGTGAGCCGAGATCGTGCCATTGCACTCCAGCCTGGGTAACAAGAGCGAAACTCTGTCTCAAAAAAAAAAAAAAGCTAGGAGAGGTGGCTTATGCCTGTAATAATCCTACTGCTTTGGGAGGCTGCAGTGGGGGGATCACTTGAGGTGAGGAGTTCAAGACCAGCCTGGGCAACACAGATTTCATCACTACTAAAAATAATAAAAATTAGCTGGCCGGGCACAGTGGCTCACACCTATAATCCCAGCACTTTGGGAGGCCAAGGCAGGTGGATCACAAGGTCAACAATTTGAGAACAGCCTGGCCAACATGGTGAAACCCCATCTCTACTAAAAATACAAAAAATCAGCTGGGTATGGTGGTGCATGCCTGTCATCCCAGCTACTCAGGAGGCTAAGGCAGGAGAACTGCTTGAACCTAGGAGGCAGAGGTTGCAGTGAGCTGAGATCACGTCAGTGCACTCTAGCCTGGGGGACAGAGCGAGACGATGTCTCAAAAAAAAAATTAGCTGGGTGTGGTGGGGTGAGTCTGTAGTCCCAGCTACTTGGGAGGTTGAGGCAGGAGGATTGCTTGAGCTTGGAAGGTTGAGGCTGCAGTGAGCCATGGTCACGCCACTGCATTCCAGCATGAGCAACAAAGCAAGACTCTGTCTCAAAAAGAAAAAAAAGGGAAGATTTGATAAATCACGAGTTCTCTGCTGCTGTCTGCTTTGGCTGATCACTCAAGCAGCAATGGCAAACTGGGAGAAAAAGCAAGAGGCCGTGCCTCCGCTTCTGCAGAAGATGCCGGGTGACTTTTCCAAGGGCTGTCCCTGCACTGCTGGGACTACAACTCCGCAGTCAAGGATGCACAGCAGGAGTCACTGCTTTCCCCCAAGACCACCATGAGGAGAAGAGCAAGGAGGGAACGTTCTGGCATTCTCAAAGGAAAACATTTCCAAGATATAAAATGGATTCAATTTTTATTAAATAATGTAAGGGGTTTTCTTGGCACCATTCACATTCTCTTGCCTTTCTGAGTAAAACAAGTGCGTTCATCTGCATCGGTAGCAGAGACAAAGCTACTGGAGCAAACGTTAAGTGAACGGGTTCCCATGCCGAAGGCGTCCTCATTCTCAGGCTGTCAGGCCTCCCCTCGTCCGCAGGACTGGACAGGCCACCCTCCCCAGGCCCTGCCCTCGCCGCGTGTCCTTCCACACAGACAACAGCCTTGCTTGGTCACCTGGAGGAGCTGCGCTCTTTGCTGACACAGTCATCCTGTGAGGTGGTGTCCCCGTTTCCCACCATGCTGCATGTCCTCCTCTTCTTTCTGCGGTGCACTGCCCCATCACCCTCGGATCCAGACTCGCACTGGACACGGGAGGAGAGAAAACAAGCAGTTAGCCTGGACGCAACCCACCTCCTCATTAAACAAACCTCTGCCTTGGGAGACAGCACAGATATTGGTCACTTTCTCCCAGATGCAAAGCAGTCACTATGACAGCTCCACAGTGCAGCCTTCACAGCCACCTCCTTGCATGTTCCTGGCTCCCTAAGAATTTCAAACTTCCCTCAGATGCAAGCGTCCCTCCACTGTTCTCATAATGGGGCAGTTACTTGTTTGAGTAAGCTACCCACTGCTGGGCCGGGTGCATTGGCTCTCACACCTGTAATGCCAGCACTTTGGGAGGCCGAGGCGGGCAGATCACCTGAGTTTGGGAGTTGGAGACCAGCCTGGCCAACATGGAGAAACCCTGTCTCTACTAAAAACACAAAATTAGCCAGATGTCGTGGTGCATGCCTGTAGTCCCAGCTACTCGGAAGGATGAGGCAGGAGAACAGAAGCTGAGATCGTGCCATTGCACTCCAGCCTGGGGAACAAGAGCAAGACTTCATCTCAAAAAAAAAAAAAAAAAAAAAACTGAGAGATACCTGCTGTAAAAATATTTTAGTCAACATTCTGAAACTGCATTATGAGATTTCACTTTACCAACAGAGCCTGATGCATGAAAGGAAGTTGGTACAGCACTGAACATTCCCAGAGCCCCTTCCTGCCCAACGAGAAAAGACTAAATCAGCAGACTGGGTGAAAAGACAGTTTTTTTTTTTTGAGACAAAGTCGCACTCTGCTGCCCAAGCTGGAGTGCAGTGGTGCAATCTCGCTGCAGCCTTTGCCTTCTGGGTTCAAGAGATTGTTGTGTCTCAGCCTCCTGAGTAGCTGGGATTAGAGGTGTGACCACCATGCCTGGCTAATTTTTGTAATTTTAGTAGAGATGGGATTTCGTCATTTGGCCAGGCTGGTTTGAACTCCCGACCTCAAGTAATCTACTGGCTTTGGCCTCCCAAAGTGTTGGGATGACAGGCGTGAGCCACCACACCAGGCTGGGATGGAAATTTCATCTGTTAAAGGTGCAGGGCCCTCTCAGCCAGTATTAATGTCAGCTTCAAGTTTAAGGTCACTGGATTTGCAGAATTTCTAGGCTTACAATTTACCATCCATGGGTGAAAGTCTTCAAAAGGATGAGTTTGAATCCTGACACTGCTGCTTGATCTTGAGCCATTTACCTCACTAAATCCCCAAATACTTGATGCCTCTTGAGGCTATTTTAACAATTCAAGCACATGTGCAAAGCTGTAACGTGGGCAAGATACCCTACTCAGCAGGAATGGTGACAAGTGTAACCCTTAGAACAAGGTGGAAAAACTTTTTTTTTTTTTTTTTTTTTTTTAAAGAGACAGGGT